GATACTTGCACTGTTCAATCACTGAGTATCAGGTAGTAAAAGGAAAAACTGTAGAAGATGCTCATAGTCACCCCTTTTAACTAAATGGATTACTCACTATTCTGTAAATCCCACTGACTAATGAACATAATACCCTAAATACTCATTGCTTATAGGCCATTCTCTTTCTGCTCTTGCTAACAGAGTTGTATGTTTACAAAAGCCAGTTGTGTTTTGTCCTGATTAGTTCTATAGTTTTGTTAGATATCACATAAATAGTTATATACATGAGAAGCATCAATAAAGGATAGAATAAAACCTGCAGTGTAACTTACACATTCTTCATGGACATATACAGGTAAAAACAAAATGGGAATGGTAATACCTAATTCATGATAGCAGTCACCTCTAGGATAGGAAAGAAATAGAATCAGGAGAGGTATACAGTGGACTTCAAATCTGTGTTGTACGTCCTTTGTTTAAAAAAAGAGAGAGGGAAGGACAAAGCACATGTGTTTAAGATTTGATAAAGCCAGGTTTTGGATATACATTTTTCCTGTTCCTGTCTTCCTTTTTATTTGTCTCTAAGACTAAACAAAACAGACTCCAAATTTCATCAGAAAATGCTCTAAAATTAATTATGAAAGTGATTTAATATTTGTACTTGGTCAGGCCAGGGCAGAATCACAGAAGGGCTTGCTAGCACCATCCCTGAATTGTGCAGTTAGTTAGGTACGCTTATACTCCAGGGACCAGAACTAGAGAGGAAATCTCCAGCAGTTTAGACAATGAGCCATGATGGAGTCTAGGCAGAAAAAAGTGATACTGCCCTCTGCTGGTCCTGAGAGCGCCCATCAGTGGAGTGGCACTGCCTATCCTCACTAAGGGACACAGTGCGTCTTGCTTGTGATTTACCAAAAAAGCAAGAAACCACAAAGAAAAAAGGTAAATTCCATATCTAGAAAAATAATAATGTTTTAAGTATTTTGGGATTAATGATTTCCAACGCATGTATTAGGAGATCGTTTTATCTACAGGCACTTATTTTTTCTGTTTAGTAAAACCACTGCCACTATCACAGATGCCATAGCCATTTGTGTCTGTCTTGCCACCAAGTGTTTGTACTTTAGTCACTTCACCCTGCCGTAATTCTCACCTAGTAAAGAGGCTGTGCTGACCCTTTGGGCCACTATCACTCTGACTTGCACCATTTTTCTTACTTGGAACATAAACAGTCCCACTTTTGTTCAAAATATTTAGATTAGTTTTTGCATATTCAACTCTTAGTTTGTGAGTAAACAGGAAGATACAGGCTGAATATCTGTAATTCAAAAATTTGGCCCACACTTAGTGACTTACTCCTATAATATCCCAGCGTTTTGGAAGGCCAAAGTGGGAGGGTAGCTTGAGGTCAGGAGTTCAAGACCAGCCTGGGCAACATAGTGAACCTCTATCTCAAAAAGCATTTTTTTTGTTTTGTTTTATTTTTTTGAGTCTTACTCTGTCACCCAGGCTGGAGTGCAGTGGCACGATCTCAGCTCACTACAACCTCTGCCTCCCTGGTTCAAGCGACTCTCCTGCCTCAGCCTCCCAAGTAGCTGGGATTACAGGCACCTGCCACCACACCCAGCTAATTTTTGTATTTTTAGTAGAGACGGAGTTTCACTATGTTGGCCAGGCTGGTCTCGAACTCCTTACCTTCATGATCTGGCTATCTCAGCCTCCCAAAGTGCTGAGATTATAGGCATGCACCACGGCGCCTGGCCTCAAAAAACGTTTTTAAAAATTAGCCGGGCATGGCAGTACATGCCTGTAGTACCAGCTACTCAGGAGGTTAAGGTGGGAGGATCACTTGAGCCCAGGAGTTCTAGGCTGCAGTGATCCATGATTGTCATTAGCCTGGGTGACAGAGTGAGACCCTGTGTCCAAAAAGAAAAAAGAAAATTCAAGGCCAGGTGCAGTGGCTCAAGCCTGTAATCCCAGCACTTTGGGAGGCCAAGGCGGGCGGATCACGAGGTCAAGAGATCAAGACCATCCTGGCCAACATGGTGAAACCCTGTCTCTACTAAAAATACAAAAAAAATTAGCTGAGCCTTTAGGTGGCGCACCCCTGTAATCCCAGCTACCTGGCAGGCTGAGGCAGGAGAATTGCTTGAACCTGGGAGGCGAAGGTTGCAGTGAGCTGAGATCATGCCACTACACTCCAGCCTGGAGCCTAGTGACAGAGCAAGACTCTGTCTCCAAAAAAAAGAAAAAAGAAGATTCAAGATGCTCCAAAATTCTAAACTTCTAGCTGGCTGGCATGACACTCAGAAGAACCGTTCATTGGAGCGTTTCAGATGTCAGATTTTTGGATTTAGCATGCTCAACCAGTAAATACAATGCAGATATTCCAAAATCTGAAACACTTCTGGTCCCAAGTATTTCAGATAACGGAACAGACGCTCAACCTGTAATGTCAACTCAGATGTGCCAAGGAAAGCAAATATATACCATCAGTGAGAAAAATGCTGAAGGAGAAGGCGGAGTTTCATTACACCCTCAGATTCCTGTACATCTCTGTTTTTTTTTTTTTCTGTTAAGTTTTAATAAAAGATTTATAATTAATAAATTTTTTGGTGTATTGATTATCCTAAAAGTACTTTGTTAGAATCTGATAAGGATTTGTTAAGAGCTCAGTTTTTTGGAGCTTATCTATATTAATATAATTTCAAGGCTCCAAAATTTTTAGAGCTGCTATTATGTTATGCTGCATTTGTAAGAAATGGTACTGCCCTGATTGTACTCATGGTAAAGGCAGTTGAGAATTGTAGTTTTATCTCATTTGAATTTAGTGCCTTTAAAATCTCTTTCAGGCTCATGATGGTGGCTCACACCTATAATCCTAGCACTTTGGGAGGCTGAGGCAGGTAGATCACTTGAGCCCAGGAGTTTAAGGCCAGCCTGGGAAATATGGTGAAACCCCATCTCTACAAAAAAGTACAAAAGTTAGCTGGGTATGGTGGCACACACCTGTGGTCCCAGCTACTAGGAAGGCTGAGGTGGGAGGATTACTTGAGCCTGGGAGGTTGAGGCTGCAGTGAGCCATGATCGTACCACTGCACTCCAGCCTGGGTGACAAAGCCAGACCCTGTCTCAAAAAAAAAAAAAAAAAAAAACCTCAAAATAGGTTTCTGCAATGCTACTAAAGTAATTGTTAGTCCTTACAGGAGGAAAAAGTGCGCAATCCATGTCCCAAGTGTCTTCCTGCAGAGTATAGAAGGAGCTTGTGATTCAGTGTGTGTGGCTTCTGCTTACGCATTCTCAAAACCACACACATTTTGTTCATGATTTCCCATAGGTGGACAGTAACTGTTTCTTAAATAACCAGATAGGCATCATGAAATCCAACAATGAGCCTTGTGCACCTTTCCCTCAGAGAACTCTTGATTTTTGCTTCATAGCCATAACTTACAGCCACTTAATACGGAGAATTGAGGTTATAGCCAGTTACCTCAGCAGCCGTACACAGTCCTGTCTTGAAAGGGTCTTACACATGGCATGTGGGACACAGAGACTCTTCAAGGCAAAAATCACAACCATTTGGCTTCTAACTACACAAGTACTACATTTCGTGGTATGCATGGTACCTATTCCGGCTCTAAACCAAAAAGGAGATTAGCATATATTGAGCATATAGTTTTTACCAGATATCTTATATATCTGGTATGTGTCACTAAGAAATGAACCAATTTTTCTTGTGTAATTGTTACATATATAACCTTAGTAATCATCTTCAGTGTCCAACATTTCAAGAGAAGAGACTCACCTTATTAAATTGCTTCAAAAGAAAACTTATCAGAAACTTTAGTTCTACTCACAGAAAATAGATGAACTCAATTCCAAAGAATAAAATGGGCCAAAAAATGTTTATTGAAAATGGTACCTACTCTTTTTTTGAAAATAAGGAATTTTTAAAAATTTGAAACATTCTTAACTCTTAGAGGTGAGAGCAGTGGTTATGGAAAAATGACTCAAGTCACCAGCTGAAATTTGGCAATGTAAATTATCTTTAAAATTTAAAATGCAATGTTATATAGACTTTTCTCAGAGGTTTCAAGGCAGAATATTACTTTGGGAAACAAAATCATAAAGTGAGGGAAAAACAGAAGTGCTATTTGGCAGTTAATGTGGTATTTAACTTATTTTGATTTACTTTCAATTCTTTTGGAAGACAATTTGGTGTTGTAAAAAGTGCAGGGACTTTGGAACTAAACAAACTTAAATATGTATGAAGTGCCTTCTAAATGCCTGCAGAGTTCATTTTCCTTCCCTCTGTTGTTAGTCATCTCTTAAGTTTACTCTTACTCTGAGGCCCAGCAGGAAGTCCTAGGAAGGAAGGATGTTTGGTTTTTGTTTATCTTCCCCTGCACAAATTTGGTTACCAGAAAACGCCTTTGAAGCCCAAGGCAGTATTCTAGAGAGTATGTGGGCCAGGCAGCAGCTTTGGTCGGGAGGTAATGAGCTGGAATGAGCAGTAGGAAGAGTGCAGTTCTCCTGAGTCCCTAATTCTTGATGTATCCTCATTCTGTGTATAAGGCCAAGCTGTAGGTTCACTCATATTTCAGTTGCTGTCTCTTTAAAAAGAATACCCTAAACCCAAGTAGAAGAAATTTTAAATTACATGGAGTTTTATGTTTACGTTGTGATGGATTTTATTATATGCCCTAATGGTAATAATTTTCACTAAATCTATAGTACCTTCTTTCCTATATTCTCTGATATAATAACAGCTTTGATTTTTAGCTGTTAACTAAAATACCCATTTTGATTAAGTGACTGAGACTCTCAAGGATTCAATAGCAAGCCCACAGTTGCCAGTTAAAAAGTAGTAAGTTGCTGATTGCTAAGCCTGTACTACCAAAAGATATTCTTTAGAGAAATCCTTTGATCACATCTATGATTAACTGTGGCCACTGTGACCTTATGAACTGTTAAAATTCTGCCAGCCCTGTGGTGATGTATTTTGTGTGTTCTCACAGAAACTTGCCCCTGGAGTCAGCCAGTTTGCTTACACATGTGTGCAAGACCACCCCATTTGGACAAATCAGCAGTTTTGGGAGACAACCTTTTACAATGCAGTGCAAGAACAGGTTCGCTCCCTTTATCTCTCAGCCAAGGAAGACAATCATCCCCCGCACCTTAAGCAAAAGGTAAGAGAGGAGAAAATAACGCTAATTGTGTGGGGTTAGGATTCTGACTTTAAGGAAACCAGATGTTCCCAGGGCGAAAAAAAAAGAAAAAAATCTGGCTACTTCCTACCAGTGTATTTGGGTTTTATTTAGAGAGCCCTGTGATATCTTTCTTCTGTTGATTTCAGACATTATGTTTTTCCGTAATAACAATCTTAACACAGTTCTTCAGCACTAGGATTGTTTTAATCTAGTTTAATAAATAAGAATTTCCTGGAAATGATATAGGAAATTGAATAGAAAGAACAAGCCTAAAATACCAGGCATACTTCCCTATGCAACCAACTTCCCTGGAGGAATGTCAAAGTTAATTGACTGCAAAATAAATTATAAATGTAAAACTTAGTAGTTCTATTCAAAAATATGCCAGTAATAAAGCTAGTCTTCTAGGAATATTCTATATGTTTTTCTATGTTTTATCAGCATAAAATACTTTTATGAAAAATTTCAAAAAAATTTAAAAATCAAGAAAAAGTATTTTAATTTGAAAGAGTATTCAGATTTCTATTTTTGGCAAGAAAAAAAAAAAACAGTAGTTTTAAATACTCTGAAATTTTAAAACCTCATTTACCAGCTCTCTGGTTTGAGGCAAGTCGTGTTACTTCACTATGCCTTATTTCCTCACTGGTAAAATGGATATGATTATTATGAGATTTTAGTGTCTAATATTATGTAAAGTACATTGAAGAGTACCTGGCATGTAGTAATAAGTGTTAGAAATTATCATCCTCATGAATTGAACTTAAAGCAGCCTTAAAGGCTGATTATTATTGCACTCCAGAAATTATTGGGCTTTTGGGGTGCTTTTGATAGTTTTTTAAGCAGCTGTGATGTTAATATTGATACATCTCAGAAGCATTCACAGAGCAAACACATGTCACTGCTTCTTCAGCAGCCATTCTAAAGAATTCTATCCCTGAGCCAGCCCTAGGTTAGATATAAGTGAGACCATAGATGTACCAGCTCTTCACAAGCTGTAAGGTGCTTTGCTGCTTCCTGAGGTTTATCGCATAGTTCCACTCAAGGCCTGTTGGATCAGGGAAAAAAGACTAGGTTTTGTTTTGTGATTGTTATTTTTTTTTATGTTTTCCTTTTTGCTGTTACAGGTATTTAACAGAATAATTATTTAAAACATCCATGTTTGTTAAGTTCATCTGAAGTGATGGTTTTCTTTTGGATTGTGTTGCTTTATTTTTTAGGATAAGCTTCCTGATGACCAATATCAGGAGAAAACAGCGATGGACCTGGCAGCTGAGCAACTACGCCTTTGGCCTACCCTGAGCAAGTCAACTCAGCAGGAGCTAGTGCAACATGAGGAAAGCACTGTCTTCAGTCAGGCCATTCACTTTGCAAACCTCATGGTGAACTTGCTAGTTCCACTCGACACAAGTAAAAACAAGCTCCTAAGAACATCAGCGCCAGGTGACTGGGAAAGTGGAAGCAACAGCATTGTCACAAACAGGTATCAAAATGTGAACACAGAGATCCTCCTCTGTCTCTTCTTGGAGCCAGATAATATTAAGCATTTTGGGCAATACTGCTGTACGTATTTCAAAAGTTAACCATTTTTCCTCGCCTTTGGACTTGCTCAGCTCTTCTCTATAAAAGATTTACTTCATCATACTATTCTTTACCACTTCCCACAGTCTCCTCTTTTTTATGACCTAATTTTCCAAACGTCTCACCCATTACTGGTCCAGCCGTTCAGTTACTATCTGCCAAAACAATTTACAGAAATCACTCCAAAAAAATTAGTGAGCACCTTCTTGCCAAAGTGGCTATTTGTTTCTCAGCCCTTCTGTTCTTCAGTCTTATAGTCATATCCTCAACTATGCTTTCCTCTCTACCCTCCGGTGACTTCTCATACCACTGAAACTAAAACCCAGTGATTACCATGGCCTATGAGGCCTAACAGGGTCTGTCCTATGGCTACTGCTCTGACACCCCTATTTCCTATCACTCTTCTATCAACCAAACTGGCCTCCCTGCTCATGCTAATCCTCAGACACTCCAGGCATATTCCTGCCTCAGATACTTTGTACTTGTATTTTCATTCTGGAATATTCTTACCCAAACAGTTCAAGAATCACTTCCTCATTTTATTTAGGTTTCTGTTCAAATGCAACTTGCCTCAAGAAGCCCTCCTGACTTCTGCATCTTAATAATACCTCTACCTGTCTTACTTTGCATTATTTTTCTTCCATGTCATTTTTTACAACCTGATTTATTTTCATGTGCTTTCTTGTTATGTCTCCTTTGTCAGTTTTGTCCATTGCTGTATTACTAGTGTCTTTGCATGTAGTAGATACTCCATAAATATTTGATTGAACAAATGATAAAATGAGTGAATAAATGAACTGATCAACAGTAAATTCTAAAAATTGTATCCTTTTTAGGACTTCAGTGATGGATGCTGCAACATCCTGGTAGTTCTTCTAGCTCTCATAAATTCTTCTCGTACTCCTTCAGGCAGCGCCTCTTCTCATTCTCAGTTCCTCTGCCAAGCTCTTCTTACTCTATGGAAAACTCATCTGCAAGCCTAAATTTCTGGCCTCAACCTTTTAATCTTGTTATCCTAGGCACTTCATTTTTGTCAGGAACACCTCGGAGTTTCTGGTCTTCCAGGCTAGACAACTTGGAATCAGCATTTCACACCATACAGTCAACTGCACAGATCTCTTACCTCTGCCCATGTTGAGTTTCTAGTTCATCCTCTGGATACTTAACGGGAACAACATAGTCTGGCCCTTATCACTTCAAGCCCTAATTTTAACAGTCTGTTAGTTGTTTCCTTTTTTATCCCTCTTTCTACTGCCAAAAGAATCTTCCTGTAATGATGCTTTCCCATTCTTTCACTACTCATAATTCCACAACACTTTGCTTAATCAATACAGGACTTATCTGCTTGATTTGTAAGATATTCCTTAGCTGTCCCAGCTTTATCTCCATTGCCAGTGAAGTTCATCTCCATTATAACAAGCAATAACTGAATTTTATATTTCTTTTAAAGTTGTCATCAGGCCAGGCATGGGGCTGATTGTCTTATAATCCCAGCACTTTAAGAGGCCAAAGTGGGAGGATTGCTTGAGGCCAGGAATTCAAGACCAGCCTGGGCAACATAATGAGACCCCATCTCTACGAAAAATGAAAATTAGCCAGGTGTGCTGGCACACACCTGTAGTCACACACCTGAGCCACTTGGGAAGCTGAGGCTGGAGAATCACTGCTGCAAGAGGATTTCTTGAGCCCAGGAGTTTGAGATTACAACTAGTGTCACTGCGCCGTAGCCTGGGTGACAGAGTGAAACCCTGTCACTAAAATAAATAAATAAAAACAAATAATAATCAATATAGATGACAATGCTATCTCAAAGTCTGCATATTGGTGGCCATATTCTTTGCTTAGCTTTGCTTTAACAGTCTCTAACGCTGATTCAGCTAAAGTGGTTGGCTTTGCAGAAAAGAGAGGCGAGTAGGAACAGACAAATGCGTCTTTTCCCTGATTAGCAATCTGATGTGTTGAATAGTAAGAGCTGAATAAGCAACAAGGGGAGAGAATGACTTTTTACATCTGTTCCATTTCAATTTTGTTCCTTTCTCTTGCTTGATTTTATCACCTATAGAAGAATGCTGGCTTCAAAGTGGCCAAATGGGTTGCAGTTTACTCAGGGAGTGATAAATCCTGGCAAGAGAAGGATTCATAGGACAATTTGGTCCTTACATATGGAAGAATATGTTTGTTGCTGAGAAAAATTCTCTTACTTTGCCTTCCAGGGAACATGTTCCTCAGTTGCCAAGTTGCCAAAGATGGCCATATTACTTTGTCTCCATGTAGTAATTAACTTGGGAGGACAGGTTGCTTTAGAAGGCCCAGATAGTCTATAATAAATGAGAGTCTTCTTTTGCTTTATTTTCTGTGGTTCCTGAGTTCCTTTTGGGAGAGTGATAAAAGGTATTCCTTACAGAAGGAAATCTGGGTCCAAAGGATAATGCCTGACAGTAGTTTCCAAATGTAGACAAGTAGAACATTGTGTTTTATCACTGTCACTTACCAAGGAATCATGGAGTTAAGTGAGCCTTCTACTTGAGTATGTATCTCTTTGAGCATGTTTCTATCACTATGTAAATTGATTACTATATAGTAGTCATTTGTTGCATTTGAGTACTGACCGTGATTTCTTTCCTTGACTTAGTATTGCAGGAAGTGTAGCTGAGAGCTATGATACAGAGAGTGGGTTTGAAGATTCAGAGAACAATGACATTGCCAATTCTGTTGTGCGGTTCATTACCCGATTTATTGACAAAGTTTGTACAGAGAGTGGAGTTACTCAGGATCACATCAAGAGCCTTCATTGCATGATACCAGGTAATCAATTTTCAGACATTAGAGAATCAGAATGTTAGAGATTATTGAGTTTCAGCATAAAACCTGGCAATACATGTCTTCTATGTAGTTCAACCATGCTATTTACTTATTTTCTGATTTATTTTTTAAATGTTTTTAAACTGTAGTAAAATTTACGTATATAACATAAAATAATCTAAGTGTACAATTCAGTGGCATTAATTACATTTACAGTGTTGTGCAGCCATCACTATTATCTATTTATAAAACTTTTTTATCATCCCAAACACTCTACCCATTAAGCAGTAGCTCCTGTTTCCCCATCCCCCAGCCCCTGGTAACTTCTAATTTTCTGTCTCTGTAAAGTTGCCTGTCCTAGATATTAAATATCTAGATATTTTATACATATAATATCTAGATATTATGTATATATAATATATATTATATATATAAAATTACTATTTTCTGTCTCTGTAAAGTTGCCTTTTCTAGATATATGAGTTGATTTAGATAATATTTGTACCTTTGTGTTTGACATATTTCACTTACCATAATGTTTTCAAGGTTCATACATGTTGTGGCATGTATCAGAATTAAATTCCTTTTTATGGTTGAATAATTTTCCATGGTATAGCTATCTCACATTTTATCCATTCATCTGTTAATGGACATTTGAGTTGTTTCTCCCTCCCTTTTGGCTATAATAAGTAGTAATACATGAATATTCACATATAAATATCAGTTTGAGTCCTTATTTTCATTTCTTTTGGTCATATACGTAGAAGCAGAATTGATGGATCATAATGGTAATTCTGTTTAACTTTTCTGAGGAACCACTAAACTTTAATTAATTTTTAATTCTAAAATACCTAGAATTTGTTTTTATTCTGCTTGTCTATGTTCTTTCATTTGGAATACTCTGACTCATCCTAGGAATTGTAGCTATGCACATTGAGACCCTAGAAGCAGTACATCGAGAAAGCAGAAGACTTCCACCTATACAGAAGGTAATAATTTCAAACTCCATGCTTTCAGGGTATAGCATCTCTTCTTAAAAACAAACAATAGGGTGGGGTGCAGTGGCTCATGCCTGTAATTCCAGCACTTTGGGAGGCCAAAGTGGGTGGATCACCTGAGATTGGGAGTTCGAGACCAGCCTGACCAACATGGAGAAATCCCATCTCCACTAAAAATACAAAATTAGCTGGATGTGGTAGTACATGCCTGTAATCTCAGCTACTCGGGAGGCTGAGGCAAGAGAATCACTTGAACCTGAGAGGCAGAGTTTGTGGTGAGCCAAGATTGTGCCATTGCACTCCAGCCTGGGCAACAAGACTGAGACTCCATCTAAAAAAAAAAATAGACTGCTGTGTTCCAGGAAAGTATGTTCACCTAACGTTTTACAGACACCAGCTCCAGTTTTAATTGTACATTAAAGTTTCAGAGGAGTTTGTCATATAGAACCTTATAAAAAGGATACTGAAATAGGAACAGAATCTTTCCTTGGATTCAACAAAGGAGCAATGATAACCTCTCCTTGAGTCTACTTTTATAGACAGGGCATAAATTAGGAACATTTCTAACCTCTAAGCCCAACCCAAGATTTTATACTGTGCCTACTTCTCCCACCCCCCACCCCCCAAAAAAAGGATTTAAGGCAATTATGAAAACCCCAAGTTCCCTGACTATACCTCCCAAGCAGCTGGAAAATCTAGGGATAAAAATTCAGAGTCCTGGATGCAACCCCAGCCTTCTGAATTGGAGTACCCCAGGACATGGCCTGGGAATCTGTATTTTAACAAGGCTCTCAGATGATTATTTTGTAGTTAGTCTGGCACCAGTAGACTATGGTTCAGGTCCCTCTTGCCTATATAACAGAACTATTAAAAACAAATTGAGGACAAGAGCCAAGGCTCACGCCTGTCATCCCATTTTGGGAGTCGGAGGCAGGCAGATGACTTGAGCCCAGGAGTTTGAGACCAGCCTGGACAACATGGTGAAACCCCATCTCTATAAAAAATAATTTGAAAGTTAGCCAACCGTGGTGTTGTGTGCCTATAGTCGCAGATACTCACGAGGCTGAGGTGAGAGGATCAGAGGTTGAGGCTGCAGTGAGTCAAGATCGTGTCATTGCACTCCAGCCTGGCTGACAGAGCAACACCCAGTCTCATAAATTAATTAATTAGTTAATTTGTTAAAAGGAGTGAGAAGAAGCTAGATACATAGGAAATATAATTCTGTCAAAAACCTGAGACACAGTGATCATTATACTTTGGCTTTACATTTAGCTCTAAACTCCCTAGAGCCAGCAAAAAGGATAGTACTGATTTATATAGTTTTTGTTGCTTAGTAAAAAATAAACATATTAAACTTTCAGGAGAGGTTTTTTTTTTTTTTTTTCCCCCCCCCAGCCCTAAACTCTTCAGAGGAATGTATTATGTGATTACTGAGTCAGCATTTCCTAAGTTGTGTAAATGTTCATTATGTGGCCAAGAAGGACAGGTCTTGTTAAAAGCTCATCCATATTTTTTTTCAGAAACAAAAGTAATAATGTCCAGATACTTTCAAAAGTAATAATGTTCTTTGTACAAGTTTGAGCATAAAAGAAATAGACGTACAAAGTGAAAGTCCTCTGCAGTCCTCCCCATACTTCTACAACCTCCACCCTTTACCATGATACCGTAGCCTTTAACAGTTTGGTTCATAGTCTTAAAATTCCTTTTCTTTTTCCAAAAATGGGATTATCATGTACATACTGGTTTCTAACTTGCTTTTTTCACTTACCAATGTGTTCCAGATACTTTTCTATGTTAACACATACAGATTTATGTCATTTTTTAAAGGTTACAAAAGGTTTCATTGAATGGATATTTCAGATATTTAAGCTATTTCCCAATGATTTTACGTCTACACAGTTCTGCAAAGAATCCTTTCACATTTGGATGTATAAACTTCATTTCTGCCTCTTACGAAGTCAGCTTTCTCATGTGACTATCTGGGAAGTCTGGCTTAAGTTTTTTAGGTCTATATCTGAAAAGATAACTGTGGTCTAAGTATTAGAAACTCCACAAAAGTTGTGTTTAAAATACTTTCTCTAGTCAGGTATGGTGGTACATGCCTGTAATCCTAACCCATTGGGAGTCTGGGGCAGGAGGATTGCTTGAGGCCAGGAGTTTGAGACCAGGCTGGGCAGTGTAGCAGGACCCCATCTGTACAAAAAAATTTAAAAATCATCCAGGCATATTGGTGCATGCATGTAGTCCCAGCTGCTCAGGAGGCTGAGGTCAGAGGATCTTTTTAGCCCAGATGTTTGAGGCTGCAGTGAGCTATGATTACACTACTGTATTCTAGGCTGGGCAATAAAGCAAGACCCTGTCTCCAAAAATCAATCAGTCAACCTTTTTCTGTTGTAAGCCCAAGATTCTTAGACCTGCTCTGCTGCCAGGAGAAGAAATTATCTGTGAGGGTCTTCGAGTCTTGCTGGATCCTGATGGAAGAGAAGAAGCTACTGGTGGTCTTCTTGGAGGCCCTCAGCTCCTGCCAGCAGAAGGAGCCTTGTTCCTCACCACATACAGAATTCTCTTCAGAGGAACTCCTCATGATCAGTTAGGTATGCCATCAGAACGTGGATATCTGTGTGGTACATGAGGTTTTGATTCCATCTGTGCACAGTGATTTGCAGATCATTTTAAACCCAAAGTAAGCTTTTTGCCACACAGGTATTTTGGGAGAATACTTTAGTCGGTCAAAGCTAAAGATAATTTGGGTCATAGATTTTTATTTGAAGAACAAAGCATTATATTCTAAACAATAAATTAAGGGTTCATTTGCTGAAATAATTATAATTTCATGAGACAGAGTATTATAACCTAGGGATATGCACTCTATCTAACTGCTGAATATATCCCCTGCTGGTTTGTCCCAGCTTTCGGAGTGCTACAGTTAACTGTAAAACTAAGGTCTTGCAGACACGTGAACCTTTTTGCGGAAGGATATGCTAAGCATCACAAAGTTGTCCAGCACCAACTAATCCCACTTCCCTCTTACTCCATTCCAATTAACCCCAGCTCCCTTTTAGGAGACAACTTCTCTTGACTTGCTAAACTCCTGTACTTCTATTTTCTACTATTCAATATAACCTTCTATATTAGAAAAGAATAGCATGCCCTACCAGAAGTAATCTGCATTATCTTCTTAAATTCACTGTTGTCGATATGTAAAATGCTCTTGTTGATGGGAAAAGCACATAATTGAGACTTTGGGCAAAACAACAGAACTCCAAGTCAAAGCTCAGTGACTTAAGTAAGTCACGTAACCTTTCTGGACTTTATTTTCCTCTTTTATAAAATTGGGAGATTGGGCTTTCATTGGTGATAATTCATTGGTTCTTAACATTGGCTGCATATTTGAATTATCTGGGAATCTTTAAAAAAAATACCAGTTTCTGGGCCCAACCCTCAAACAATTGAATTAGAATCTGAAGCAGTAGAAATAGGGAGACCCAGCCATCAGTGTATTTTTTTAGCCCCACAAGTGATTGTGATTGAGAGCCACTGGGCTAAATGATCACTAAAGTTCCTTTCTTCTCTGAAGTTATTTATTTAGAAGCATTTGATGAGTATGCACTCTGTGCTATGCATATGTTGGACAACAGAATTCATATGTATAAAATGTATTATCTTTTAAATCTTAACAGTTGCATTATTCCTAGGTTGAATAGAATCAAGATGACTTAGTGTATCAGTCATAAAAGACTGCTTACCATATAATATGCAAAAAGTTTATAAAATTAAATAAGAAAAGATGAATTTGTAAGAATAGTACTGCTTATTTTGAAAAAGTGAAAGGAGAAAAAAATGTCTTAGCCAGCTCCTTCATATTACTGTACATAAATTGTATTTGAAAGCAAATGTAGGCCAGGCGCAGTGGCTCACACCTGTAATTCCAGCACTTTGGGAGGCCGAGGCGGGCGGATCATGGGATCAAGAGATCGAGACCATCCTGGCTAACATAGTGAAACCCTGTTTCCACTAAAAATACAAAAATTAGCTGGGTGTGGTGGTGGGCACATGTAGTCCCAGCTACTTGGGAGGCTGAGGCAGGAGAATCGCTTGAACCTGGGAGGCGGAAGTTGCAGTGAGCCAAGATCACACCATTGCACTCCAGCCTGGGTAACAGAGTGAGACTCT